TGTTTAATATGTACCCAGATCCAATGACCCTTTGATATCCAAAAATCTTTTAATTGTCCCGAAAATATCCATAGAATGTTAACTATTCCTACGAAGAGAAGAAAAATATTTCATATTTATAGATTATTTTTTAAATTATACTTAAATTTGGTGCAAATGCAATTGATACAATTAAATTTTATGTAGATAAGTATTTGCTATCGAAAAATTGTTTGGCCAGTCATCTAAAGAGACACACACGAGTCATGCCGCGTCACGTCTCTTTGAATAGTTGAGAAACAGCTTGCATAGCATCAAAGACTGTCCAAGAGTGCAGCAAGAGAAAGAGAGCGACAGAGAGAGAGACATAGAGAGAACACCTTACATACAGACCTTACAAAATATAGTTCCAGTATAGCTTAGTGCTTCCCACCCTTTGCCTCTTTTCTCGAGTAGTGCGCCCTTTTATATTCGTTACGACTCCTCGCATAACAAAGTGAATGGGTGTATTATGCTCAACGTTTCCAGTGCTCATTTGTTCCAAGAGACCAATTAAAATGTGGTTTTGCCACGTGCTTGGAAAAATGAGTTGCGGTGGTGGTCGTCATTACGCTGTCTCATCTAACCGCTTTGAAATTTGCATTCATCCGTAATTGGATGAATCGATTTTTCAACCACTTTTTTCGAAAAAAACATCAAGGGCTTCAATAAATCTTCGTTTAGGATGCGATCGCTAGAAAAGTTCGAAATTGCTTTATTTTTATTGCAATTAAATTTGGTTTGATATTTTTCAATACGAACATATGCAACAAATTCAGAAACAAGTGCATCAAATAAATTATACAAGAGTCATTGAAATGATCGAACTCAACGTAGTTCGTAGGCATTATGATGCGTATTATATAGATGGGATATTTTTTAATGCTTTTCCAACCAGACAATGATGCTTCCCGACTGAAAATTTACGTTTCATTAAATCTAAAAAACACGTCTTCTCCTCTCTAGCTCTAAGTTTTCGACGTGCGAGCTGCGAGCATTGTCATTCTATTCATAATCTCTCGTTTCCTCGTGAAGACCCAGCACCCCATAGACACATTATTCGATGTTACACATCCCTTTACGTTAAATATTCTTACTTGTTCCGCGTTATATATATGCGCGGTATACATTTCCGTATATTATTTATTAGGACGGAATGGATCACACTGTATTACGCGTTGTACTTGTCATTGTGGCTTTGCAATGGAGATTAGAAAGGCCGCAATTCATAAACTCTATAATATTATGCCCTATGATAGGCTGCCACTACTAATAACGTCTAATAATCGGTCTCGCACTTTGCACCAGCGAACTTGTACAGAGGCGACGTTTTGGTGGCTTTCGTACAATAGACGATAGTAGAGAGAGAGAGAGAGAGAGAGAGAGAGAGAGAGCGAGAACGACACTAACTGACTATAATACATTCAACTATGTGTGCAGTATTGACTGATGCGTGCGCTGTATACACATTGGAACAGGGGAACTTCACTTTGCACCAGCGAAAAAGCAAGGGTAGCGACCCCCGCAGCGTCAGCGGATTCGCCACGGCCAGCTGTGTGGCACCTCCACACTTTTCTTCTCTTCTCCAAGTTCTTTTTTTTCCACTATTCAATTTTTCATTTTAGTATTTTTTTCTCTCGCACCGTCACACTCTTTTATCGTCATGGAAGAATCTTTATAATCGATCGGCTATTTTCTTTTGTCACGCTCTCATGTATTGTCATTGAGCTCACTATCTACAGAGCGGACGGTCTGTTGACAGACTATCAAAACATATAATAACTGAGTAATGTGCAAGTTGAATATGCAAAATCATTTAATCTGTGCTACGAAGCGCCGAGCTCCAATTTTTTATGTACATTCACTTATGATTCAGCACGTGAACTAATCACAATCATCATTGATTTAATGACATCTAGTAATGACTAATGTTTTGATATGATTTTACATTTTTATGAGCTGTGTATAAGAATCGAAAGCAATTAAAAAAGCTTATGCAATTTTTCATCTAATTTATGTACTACCGTCATCTTATTCCAATATGCTGTAAGATTAAAAATTTGATACATTAAGAAATGAAATTTTTTCGTTTACAATGAACTTCAACTATCTTTTTTGCTCCACTCGTTAAATTTACTATAAAACTTGCAAAAGAAAATTTTTGTGATATTTTTATTTTTGATGTAATGGAAAAAATTTAGGCCAAATAAATCATTACAATTGACATTTTTCTTAATTTTATGCTATCTCGTGTTTATTTTTATTGCACGATACATTGGTACATTTACACGATACAAAATAATCATTTAAAAGGTTTTAATATACGTTACCATTAATTAATTTTTTAGCGGTTTCACTGTTACCATTAAGTTATAAATATAAGGTGCATTTAAAATAGCCTGAAAATAACAATCGAATTGTTTTAAAACATTTAGACTAGTTTTCAACCAATTTCAATCCAATAATGCAACTTCAAGCCTTTACCACTAGATGGCAAATATTTTTATCAATAAATCTGCAAGTGGCAAAGTAAAAATAATTGTATAAATTAATCGATGATTCTATGAATCAATTAATAGAGAAGTTCCCTTGAATCAATTAAGTTGTAGAAAAAATCAAACCAAAAGTGTCAAACCGAAAAGGTCAGTTCAGAAGTTAGGTATACACTTCTTTCGTTTCAAATGTAACGAACACGTATTTTTATAAAAGTGCTGGACACTAAAGTCAACTCCTTAACTTGCTTATTAGTTGACTTACTTATGACTCAAGTCGAAACGAAATAAAGTATATCTACTGTCGAAAAAGCAACTTTTTTCAAAATACAATTGAAAAATTAACGAGGACAAAACGCGACTTGAAAAGTACTAGATAAAAAAACTATTGATAGTATATTTAGATGGTATATGCCCCATTTATACAACCAAATAATGTTCATTAAAAACTTGGAACATAATGTGTCCATAAAATATTGAAAAAAGGTTTCAGTTATGGTTAGTATGTGTCAAGTTCTAATGGTTCTCTCAAGTCCAAAAACTTTTTCGTTCGCCAAAAACTAGCCAGGAAATTTTAAGCATTTCTATTAGACTTTCGAAAAAATTCTTTAAAGTATAAAAATATATTTAGAAATAGTCAGTAGCATTCTTCCATGTAACGCCATCTATCATATATTTTGTAAACCATATATTTTAAATTATAATTAATGTTTAAAACCTATTTTAATCTAAAATTGTTTATACAAACAAACAAAAAGTTTGAAATAACATTTTCTTAATAATAATAAAACTTCATTTCTTCAGCTTTACATTCTTTTTCAAGTTTCACTCTGTTAATCTGTAAAGAAAGTAAGTAAATCTATAATTTAATGTATTTTTTATTTCATTCAACATTCATTTAATCATTGGTTTTTTATCGAGAATAGATTTCTTTGATGATAATAGACTACAATGATTGTTCATGATATTGCTTTATAAATTCAAACTTTTTTATCTCACAAATAAATATTTCTCAATCAATTTTATAAAAGCTACAGAAGTTATCGAAAGTTGATTCCTGCTTTATCGATCAAAAATATATTCATATTAATGTATCATAACGGTAGATGTAACTTTACCATCAGCAGCTACAGTATCATATAACTTCCATAGTATGATATTTTCATGCGTTTATTTTTTATTTTTAAATTACATTATATTTAAAAAAAAAAAGTAAGAATAAACTTTTGAATGTTCCGTTCTAGATTATAAAATAAGTCTTTTGATTATTTATATATTTTTTGTAAATTAAAACGATAAAGTTTTATAAATGTTACTAATAAACTTTAAAGTATTCAAGCCAGTGTACTTAAAGAATTAATATTTATTAGATAAATTTGAACATTCAAGATCAGGTTTTTGGTGCAAATATTTAATTATTATTCTTAATTTTATATCATTTTAAAAGTTTCGTATTTCTTTGAGATTCCGATTATCTCGAGTCATACACCATTGTTTTTGCATATGTAAACAATTTCAATATTTATTATACAATACGTTATAATAATTCATATATATGTCTACTGTTAAATGCTACTAATACGTATTGATGGTCACAAATACTATTTATCAAAGATGATAACTTAATTCATTTGGAATAATTTTTATGAATTCAAGATACTTGTTTAATGTGAAATTTTATGAATAACAAGATTATTACAAGTCTACAACATTTGTAATTTCCATGGAGTTTTACCTCGTCATCATCATCATCATCATCATCATCATAATTATTTTTACACAACCTATAGATGATATCAATTCCAATTCTGCATCGGTAAGTAAGCCACTTCAATATCATTTTTTGATATTATTTATGTTTTGTACACATTACAATTGAATATTAATGATATACTTTTTATAAATGAACATTTATAATATATTCTGCTCGCAAAACGATCAAAGATGTCTGAATTATTGAAAAAATTGCGATGATAAGCATGTCGTTTTTTATGTTCTTTATTTTAAAGAGATTTTTTAAATGTTGCTTACGTTACTAATGTTCTGAATATATTTATATTTAATGAACACCAAAAATAAAATGACATGTTAAAAGTTTTAACATAAAAAAGAGAAAACTTCAATTTGAAGACTTCTTAAGTATTGTAAAATTATTTTGCTAAAAAAACAATTCACAACGGAAACTTTCGATAGTCGAAATCGTAAATTCTGAATCTCCGTAGCTCGATCAGCTGGAGTTACTGTGCAAAAAACGACTGCTAACTACAGCACATCGTACTTGGTAGCAGATACAGAGTGCGCTCAACCGATTTGATTGCGTGCGCTCCGCGTACTGAGGCAACGTCAGCCTAAGTAGCGGAGAACATGTATATAATACGCACACGGATAGCACCGCGAGTAGCTGACGACTCGCCGGGTACTACTACAACACTACTCGCCGAGCGATGTATATTGGCGCGCGCTCGGCTGGCATTCAGTCCGGCACTAAGAGCCGGTCCGTTCGGTCGCTGGTTCGCGCCGCTTACCGCCCACGGTTTGCCGCACACTCGCAAAAATTTCGATAGGACGCGATCGATGCCTCTCTGTTTTCGTTTATATTTATATTTGACCGTGTGTATATGTGTGTCGGGAATTGTGCGAGGAAAAAATCGACGATCGCCTCGGCTGTGTGAATAGTGTATTTATATTTGTGTCGATGCAGCTGTTGCGGCTTTGAGCTTCATCGCCAAATAAAATCACACATTTCAAAATCAAGTGGCATCGATGCAGACGATCTTCGGTACATTGTGATCCGCAGAGGCGATGAATTCAAAAGTACAATTCCGAGTCATGTGACAATTGAAATATCATTGAATTTAGGTACGCCACACGTATTCATGCACCTATTTAAGCGCTTCAATATGATCGCTTCAATTATACATAAACGACATTTTTGCGGTGTATAGATATCCATCTGTTGCCGTCAACAAGATTACCGATTAGATCAGTATATCGTTTTCAATTCGGCTTTTGAGTGCGATTTATTGGAGCTTGTAATTGAAACAATTAATTCTCAACTTCTTTACATTCGCATCAGTTATGTGGGCATTGTTTTCTTTTTTACTGAGTTATTATAAATTAATGATTTTAAATGTGTTAGTAGAGTAGAAGACAAACCCAATGCATTGTAGTTTTAATTTTCAATGATTTTAAATCACTACCTTTCCTTTTGAATGGATAGAATTCTTTGATTTGTGAGTGATGTTATATTATCGTTGATACAAAGGAAATCACTTATGATAATTTTGATACATGACAGTGTTTTATCGCATTTTCATTGTATGTGTATTTAAAGAGGGCAAGTAATTCAATCAAAATTATCTTTTCGTAATCAAGTTAGTAAATGTAGACGTGATATTAAAAAAAATGATTCGTTGATAAAAGTTATCCCTCTACGAGACATCAAAAAAAGAGTTTACATGCCTACAAATATAAAAATATTCCATGCTAGTTCATTTTTGTCTTTTCTAATTAAACTACAAAAACACATTCAAATGATTATACTTTCGATCAACACGTGTGCCGATTGCAGTACGAATCGTGGTCGCAGCAGCAACATAACAGCCGCGCTCCCACCCTTGCTCTGTCCTTGATAGATCTCACATCTCTCGTATATGTACATAACGAAGTCACTCTCTCGCGTGTAATGACCTTAGCGAGCGTTTAAATGCTACTGTGCTCGCTCACGCGGTGTCACAGGTGGCGCATTATTACGAAACTCATCAGAGTCGTGGCCCGTTATAATTGATTTTCATCGCATTGCATCTCTCCGTATAATTCGGCTCGCGCACGGAAGCGTCGATTTTAATAGTTTTTCGAGCGAGGCAGCGAACTCCGGAGATTCGTATGTAGCGCGCAGCGCGCGATTGTCAAAAATTATTATTCAACTGCGCTCGGTTGCTCGCTCATACTTTTCGAGTCCCCAGAGTACCGAGCGTCGTCGTCGCTTCTGCGACAACTGACCCTCTCGGCTGTGCAAATGTTACATTTCCTTTTCGGCTATACCAAAAGGCCTCCTCGGTTTTCGTTTAACGATGGTATTATATGCACATTATAGCTCACTGCTTCCTGCTGCGAATATATATACGGACGATGTATAGCTTTGTACGTGCGCTTTTTGGACCTCAATGCCGCGACAGAGCCTCGAGAGTCCCGAGAAAGAGAGAAAGGGAGTAAAAGAGAGAGAGGCAGAGATGCGCTACTGTAGTATGGTATGTTAATGACACGATCATGAAGCGTTTGCGCTTCGCTGAAACAAGCGCGTGAGCGTGACTGATATTATGCCATCGCGCGAGCGCTGACGAAGATATTAAGAGCAGCACCCTGCGCACTTTGTAATTTGCAATTCACACCGTATAATAAAGATACTATCGAAAAGTGATGACTTTTCAATGCATCAGCCCCTTCAAACTCTCCGTGTTTGCGCCAGTACGTAACAGGCGAAATAGATGCCCGGAGGGGCTCGATTTTCTCTCTGCATTACCTGCCATATAATGCACTTAATTAGAACAAATTCCCGAGCTTATATATTTATTCGCAATGAGCTATATATTTCACTAATTGATTATATATTATAAAATGCTGCTTTTTCTCTGCAATTACATAATACCTTTTGGTAATTTAACGATTTGAATGAAAAAGAGCGTTTTCAACGCCTCGGCAAAACTATATCACGTGAAAATTCTCATCAACGACTTCGTATTATATGGAAAAAAACGCGAATACGTTTCCGAGCCACTAATTTCAATACAATATATTGTCCTCGCTGGGGTCTAGCCTCTTTGCGGTATATCGTCCTAGTTCTCATTCAATATTATGATATTAATTTTCACCGTAATTGTGAAAAATGGTAATTATTTTCAAATAGTATTTACGTAACATACAATAACGTAACATAAATACAAAAATTTCGATGAAAAATTGCCTTGCGAACTGTAAATCTTTTTTTTCTAACTACACTGTATTTTTAACAAAAGCTACATTTAATTGCGGATACGCAGCTTCATACTCTCAGACTATGCAAGGGAAACAATTTATTTCAGAATAATGTCAAGTTTAAGGTGCATATGATAATTTTCATCATCACAATCCGTGACGATGTTATTTTTTTCAAACAATAATTCAAACAATAGAGATAGACTTCCGATTAGAATTATTAAATTTGAACTAAATATGAAGAAAAAATAGTAAATGCATTTTTTCGATATACTCAAGCACTGCTGCAGTTGTAGAATCTCAGTAGCAAGAAAAAAAAACGAATTACGGGATTGCGTTTGATATCGACACGCCAGTTGCTAACAGCGCGTGGCTGTTTCAATACCAAAAAGATTAAACGGCATTAATAATTATAGGCGCAGCAGCAAAAAAATTGCAAGCGCTGCACGTGCCTCGGCTTTGGCTTTTGTCAACATCGTGTGGTGCACATTATTTGCCAAAGATTCATGTCACGCAACCGAAAACACAATTTTTTATTATAGCCACTTTTACGATCGGCGCGCGTTAGTCACATCGAGAGAGCTCAATTATTCAGCTCGTGCAATTACAAAGAAGAAAATTATTCAAGGATAGCCTCGGTTATCGTGTGTAAGTGATATTTCAAGACGATTATTCCGATGCGTCAAGAAAAACGTTCTCCTTCTCTCTCGAAGGTTTAAGCGCTACGTTAATCTTGATGATGTTTCCTCCATTGTTATAAAAATCGCCCGGTTGCTGTGAACGCGGCCTGCTTATTCAGTCTTCAAAGTTTTACCCTCGTTATGCATAATAGCAAAAGAAATGTTCTGAATAGAGGATTATGAAGAGTTACTACATAAAAACACAGCTGTCGTTGTGCTTTTAAACAAGTTGTATTGCCATAGTGAGATCGGTCTCGGTGGATTCATAATACTATAAACGGACAATAGTATAAAAGATCCAAAGACATTAACAATGGACCACTTACACTTTTATGCCTGTAAAAGTGCCATCAAAATTAAAAGATGAATAAAAAAGGTCCAAGTCCAGACGATACGGGACGCGGCGCCAACCTATGTGGAGCTTGCGCGATCCGAAAAATCAGCATTATTATTCCACTCGTCGTGAAATTTCGCCGTACATTCGTACACATAGCGAGCCATGGGCCCCGGTCATCGTTCATGGAAACGCTTCGAGCATTGCGCCTGTCCGTCGAGGAGGAGAGCTAGCCGCTACACATTTATACTTATGTACTATAGTATACATATTTATAAGTATGTGCGTACGAAAGTGCCTAGTGCCGACGTGTAAAATTGCAATTTCCGTTTGCCACTATACTGCCACCTCCGCAGTTCACTCGCTCGCTCTCTCACTCTCTCTCTCTCTCTTACTCTCATCCGGCAACACTCGCCGCAGCGGCAGCAGCAGCGACATTATATTCCAGCGTGTCGCCGCCGCCACCGCGACTCTTTGCGCGCGGCATTATAACAATGCGTTTTATAATCGCGCGCATACAAGCGACCTGGTCTTTTTCCCACAGACTTTACTTCTTGAGCGCTGCGACGTCGTCGTCGTCGTCGTCATCGTCATCGTCGTCGTCGTTGTGACTCCCGCCCCGCATATTGTTTCACCAATTACCAACAAACTCTGCAATTAGTAGTCCGGCCCTGCGCATTTTTTCCATCTTTTTTCATATTCCATTTTCTCCGATATGCTTTGTTGGCGCTTTTCGTTGAAGCATTGTCTCCTTCATCGAGCCGACTGCTGCGCGGCTCATTTTCACACGTACGAGAAGCTCGCGATATTATTCCGAGTAGGCTTCGTTTAACGACTTTGAGAAAGATCGGAGCTAATTTTCTCGCTTGCTGATGTAGCAGAGTAATACTTGATTGTAAAGAAAGAGACGATTGCAGCAATGAAATAACCGATCTTTTAATGTACATTTTCATTGAATGTAAAGTTCAATAATTTTTATGATGGCGCCCACTATTTCCATTAAATATTAAATTTAATATAGCATTATAAACATGGGCTTACGTTCATTGAATTTGAGTGAACTAGATTAAAAATGCTTAGTACTTACAAGCACTAAATCAAATTATTAGCCTACATTCATAGTTTAAAATCTAAATTTGGCGATCAATTTATCTTCAATCGATTGAAAATCGATTCTTTCTTTGAAGCAAATCAAATGCTGTGTTTAACAATTTTAAGTTCGCGAAAAATTTTTCCTAGTTCAAATTGTGAAAGTGCAGAAATACCAAACTCATGTCAATAATTAACACAATGGCTCAAAAAAAAAAGAATACAGTAACTTATACAAATCCTATTCATTTTGTTTGTAAAACTTTGGGAAAAGTGACATTCGTTTGACCGGAAATGAGCTCGATTATCACCCTATTTTGTACCTGAAAATGAGTACACAGTCTAGAAAGTTATTTTATCAATTTGCTAAAAACGTATTTGCGTAAATATTGCTTCATTGCTACATGTATTGAAAATCATGAATGGCACGTGATAAACGTTATTCTTATTCAATTTATAAATGAAAAATTGTATCTCACAATTCATAAATTAATCAAATCATAGCCTCCGCATTTTAAATATCATACTGTGTATGATAGATATCATACTGCGTATAATATTCTTCATTTTTTATTGAATAACAATTTATTTTCATTTCATTATTCGTAATTTATACTTGCCATAAAAATGTTCTTGTTGTTTACAAAAGGCACTTGAGAAGTAGTAAAATCAAACAAATAAAATATTAGTAATTAAATTGAAAAATGATAGTTCGGTGAAAACATTATTTCAGCGTGAATGTATACGATCGAGACAATTCAATTATTCCATTTAATAAAAAT